CAGATGGTTATCATTAAATGCCACTGTTTTTTTGTTTGTTTGTTTGTTTTGTTTGTTTTGTTTTGTTTTTAAGTGCAGGAAGTCAAATGGGCAATAGGAAAAGAAGAGGGAGAAATGGAAATAGTAAAAGTAAGACTAAGATCTGGCAATAGTAGAAAAATAGATAAGACCCTGTGTGTAATTGTTGTAGACTTTGAGAGGAGACAGTATAGAGAAGGGATATACAGAGTTCAGGAACAGGAGGTAGAGGCCTTGGTATCACGAGCATCAGGAAGGTGGATATACAACTAAAATACTTGAGTGGAAGAAACTCCTTCATCCTAACCCTAACCATCTGATCATCCTTAGAAGCTAAGAGCATGGACAAAGAAATACAGAAGGATTTATCAGTTTTCTGTTCCAGGAAGAAAAATTTATGAAACATTGTGTTCTGGGTTGGTATTGTGCTAATTATACTTTGTTTTATTTTTTTTTTTAACTAATTTTGTATTTACAAGTGCTTGTATGTGAGAGCAAGTTTATGTGAGAACAAATCCTTTTTCTCTTTCTGTGTCTGTCAGTCTGCTCTGTCATTGTTTGTCTCTCTGTCTCTCTATATCTGTCTCTGTGTTGTGGGAAATATTAAAAAAAACTGCAAGTTCCAGCGCTATGCCCAACACTGGCAGGCCACATGGCACCAGTGGTGTGTCCTCATATAGGCAGATTCTCTGACTCCGTGGCTCCAAAATCTCTCCACCCAGCTCGCTAGGTTCTCACTGGCAGGTAGCTACCATGCCAGCCCCATGCTTCAAAACCCCCACGGCCTTTGGAGTGCACATCAGGCAAACCCACACTTTGCTGCTGTACCTCTCTCTCTTGAACCCAGTCGAGTTGCCATGAGAAGAAAAACACCACACAAACTTAGTTCAGACACAGTGTTAACTCAAATCTCTGGGAACAACAACTAGAATGCTAAACTTGTAAGCCATATTAAATCTAAATCCTCCGATGGTGAATCATGGCTTATTCGCTATAAGCCGGGAAACACTAGTAGCTACATCTTGTCCTCACTCTATCTCCATCCAAAAATACCCTCTTCTTTCTCCTCTTCCTCTCTTCCCCTGTCCAACCCGGAAGTCCCTTCTACTCTCTCAGTGACTGGCTCCTTTATTCGTTAGGAGATTGGTTCACAAGAAGTCACTTGAGTACTTGACTAATTCCTTGTTCACAGTTCTTCCCAGGAGAGCAGAAATTAACATCAAAATTCAGGCAGCACAGAGCCATCCACAATATCTCTGTCACTGTGTCTGTTTCTCTCTCTCCCTCTGTGTGTGTGTGTGGCAGAGGATGACATCAAGTGTTTTCTAATTGTTCTTCTAATTTTCTGAGATAGACTCACTGAGCCTGAAACCTGGAGCCCAGAGAGTAGGGTTGACTGCTTGGCTGGAAAATTTTCTCCTCCAAAACTAGTTAAGTGCCACCATACCTGGTTTTATACACATGATAAATTAGCATTTTAAAAATATAAGTTGTATTATGAGACATGTATTCCATTAGTAGATAATTTTAACAGAGGAACTTTTAACCTAATTTTGTCTATTGTCCAACAAGAATCTTCTTAAGAGTCAAACAGAAGCTTTGTAATTCTGGCATATACCCACAGAAACATCTTAACATTTATTTAATTATTGGGGAAATAACAATTGGACTTCCTAGTGAATTAATCCATAATGAGAACCATTCGTGTGGTGTGACTTCTGCGAGGAAGAGTCCCAGAGCTATTTTAATACGCTGACATTCTGATATCCAGGCCTGGTTGCACATTATTGGTGAGCTGCTATTAACCTTTAATCAACTGTGCTGATTTTTCCACGTCTGGATTCTGTTTTCTGAGTTTATGGATTCTTTCATTTCATCTCTACCTTTTAAACTTGTTACTTAGAAATTTCTTTTTTTGTATTAAATCATTGTAAATTTTAATCTTTGCTTGAATTCTCACTTAGACCACAGGTTAATATTGAGTATGAAATCCATTGGCTCGCACAGATCCGCTGCTTCCCTCAGTGTCATTCACAGGGTACCCTATCCACCTGTTAACAAGGCAGTGTGGGACAGTTGTATGGACCTCTGGCCTAACTTGAGTACATCACCTGCTGAGTGATTGTCTTTTCCTGCTCCCTGTAAGAGAGAGCATGATGGCTTACTATGGTAGGAGAAAGGGGTTTTCTAAATCTATTCTGAGGGATGGAATCTCTTTCAGCTTCTAACATGAGCTGCAGTGGAGCTCCTATTGCTGGCCTCTTTCACACTTCCTGTGTTGCACTGTTAAGCATCCTTCTGGGAACTAGAAGACACGGAGAATTGCTTAATCACTTCATGCTCAGTATCTTGGGGACTGACTTTGCAAGATGTGGGCCATGATAACCCCCTGTGGTTAAGGTAACAGCTGTGCCCAGTTGTAAAGCAGGCAACACAAGGTGAAATAGTTGCAAAATTATCCTCAGAGCTTATGGAAGGAAGGAAGGAAGGAAGGAAGGAAGGAAGGAAGGAAGGAAGGAAGGAAGGAAGGAAGTACGTTATCAAGGTTAATTTGCCCGGCTTCACACAATCAGTATGCTGTAGAGTCTGGTTTGGGAACATGTTTCTGTTTTACTCTCTTCCTTTGTTAAATGTCTTTATTTTTATATTGCACTTCACCCTCAGGGAGGCTCAGTGAGAGCTGCTTGCCTTTCATGGACAGTAAAGTTGGCCTACAAACAGCTGCAGATGAGACTTGGGCTGTTAGCGTAGCATGTAATGTGCACAGAATCACATCCCACTGGCTGCGAGACTTTCCGCTGCCTTCTTAAATCTTTCATCACCATACTAGTACAGTTCTGAAAGATAGTTTTTGTTATTAGAGAAAGGTACCAACACCTCTGTGAAAATAGGCCTCAAGTGGGATGATAATATTATACATTTTCCAGAGAGAGAAATCTTCCAGGGGTGCAAGGAGATGAAAGGCAAGGGAGGGGCAGCAGGAGGAGGAGGAGGAGGAAGATGGGAAGAGGAAGAAGAGGAGGAGGAAGAGGGGAAGGAAGAGGAAGAGGGGGAAGAGGAAGAGGAGAAAGAAGAGGGCTAGAAAGAAGGAGGAGGAGAAGGAGGAGGAGGAGGAGGAGGAGGAGGAGGAGGAGGAGGAGGAGGAGGAG